GCCACTGGATGTGGTGTGTGGCAGAGGGTGTTCTTTAAAACTAAATGGATGCAATTACTGAAAAATACAAAAGTGATGTGATACTGACCTGTGTGGGGAGGATGACCCCCTTTGAAGTATTCCCAGTCTCTGTTAGACCCTCAGATTATTGACAGGTTGAATTGTGCTCTTGAGAACATCACATCACCAGTGAAAATGACAACACATCATGCTGTTGACTGTGACCAGTGATTTCTCAACTTAAGTATGAAGCAGTACCTGTTCTCCTTGATGCACCTGAAGATTTCACAGTGCGAAATTTAGAACTGTTCTGGTAGTTGTAATGTGGGTTCAAATAGCAGGGTTAATGCTTAATGTACAGGTTGTTTTTTTTCTTTTTTTATCTGAAACTCATTAGTGTCATCATCACTTTCAGATGTTAAGCTGTTAAAACATGGATGCATTTTTGCAGAGGAGAGATATTTCCTTGTATGTTGGAAGGTCCTTTATTGATGTTTTAAAAAAACTTTTCACTGAGTATTTATATTTTTCTTATTTTTTTTGGAGTATGCTTGTAGGTTATAGCCCCTTGCTGAGCTTTGAGCCTCTTATCTAAAGTAATCATCTTTATATTTTCATAGTTTAAAAAAATGAGGACGAGAAGCCCACTTTGTATGTTGAAAGAAATCTATGTAGAGTTTTTAAAGGCTTGTCATCAGTCACTGTTACCCAATCTGCTGTTAAGTATTTAATTGTTGACTGGTCTTTTACCTCCTGGGAACCCATGGCAACATAAAATAACTAGAGGTCTCAAATACATTTTTCTTTGAACTTAAGTAGTTTGATATTTCTAGCCTTTTTTGAAATTTAAAAACAGAGTATGTGTTATCCTACTCGGTATTGCACAAAAATAGTATTTCAGTGGTCATAGCAACTTGCAGAGCTGTGTTGCTCAGGCTTTTGGGTATTTCATTCTTACCTCATCTACCACTGGATGTGACAGCAGGACTTCTGTAAGGCTTGGCTTGTTGGTGAAATGCCTACATGAAGATTTAATGCTCAAGCAGGCCTTCCTGCTGCATTTATGGTGTCTTTGAGGTGTTCCTTGTATATGGTTGATAGCTGATCTGTTCCATGCAGTCTGGAATGGCAGTTCTTGTTCTCAGCTTCTTACTTGTGCTGTGAAATCTTCACAGGTTTTTAATAGAGTACTTTTCTGCCTCAAAAAACTCAAGGCAAATTTCAGAATTTGTTGGTCCAGATGTACATTTGCATTATGTCTAAAAGAAGCAATAATATATTAGAGAGCTGTTTTGTGGAAAGAGCCTAGTCTGTTCTGCTTGCCATTATGTGCTGTGCAGATCTGGGGTTAAATAACAGTGTTGAATCCTAATGAATGAGGTGCTTTTTTTCTATTGTTTTTCTTTCAGTAACTGGTCTGCAAACTGCTGGTCCCATCTTCATCCTATTAACATGTTCAACAATGTTAAGTTCTACCACAGCAAAGCTCTCACCTCCCCATATCCAGGATCACACGTTGAGCGTAGCCAAGTTCCTGAAGATAAAGTGGGCTGGCTGACTGAGTGGAAAGATTATAATCCTGTGGAGTACACTGCAACATCTGTTTTGGCTGGACCCAGTTGGGCAGATCCCCAGATCAAGTGAGTGGAAATTGTGGCTTTTTTCTCCTGTGAACATGGAAGCAGGAAATGGTGATCAGCTGAGTGAGTAAGATCATCAGCTGAAGTGACATGTGATACTACAGTGATGTGTAAAAGTCAAAACCTAGAAAAATAGTGATTAAAGAACTGAATTATTTGGGTTAGCTGTGAAGGTCTTTGAGAAAAATTTTACTGAGCTGGTGATTGAAATAAGACCAGTGTTAACTGGAATAATGGACAGCTGTTGGTGCTGTGCTGTGCTGCTTCTCTGTGTTGTGAGCTAAGTTAGAAATGCCCTCACTCTTTAAGAATTCCTAGAATCATGGAATCATTGAGGTTGGAAAAGACCCTTGGGATCATTGAGTCCAACCATTAGCCTTACTCTACAAAGCTCACCCCTAAACCATATCCCCCAACACCACATCTAAACAACCCTTAAACACATCCAGGGATGGTGACTCAACCACCTTTTTGAACAGCCTATTCCAATGTCTGACTACTCTTTTCTGTGGAAAAAATGTTTCCTAATGTCCAGTCTAAACCTACCATGTTGTAGTTTGAAGCAATTTGGCTTGTTTGTTCATGGATTGAGTGCAAGATGAGAAGAGAATTAAAGTAGGATTGTAGTTCTTGAGTGCTCTGACTCAGGAAATGTGACAGTTTGAATGTATGACTTTTTTTTTTTTTTGTGAATATGTGTATTCATTTTTTATTGATTCTATGAATATATTCTCTGAAGGAATGCTGTATACATCTTGGCTGGAAAAGTAGATTCGTGCATCTAGTGTATCTTGTGATAATGTGAAATGGTGATTCCTGTGTATGCCCATCTGCATAGAAAGATAAGAATATAATGGCACTTGAGGTTTCAGCCATACCTACCTTGTTTCCCAGTGTGCAGATGTGCTTCTGTTTGTTCTTAATTTGGCTAATATTCTGCTGACTGCAAAGCATGTTACTTCTCAGGCTCCTTAGGGCTGCTGATGCTCTGCCGAGGCATAGTTAGGAAAGTGTCAGGTAACCTTTTGGTAGGTGTTGGTAATAATTGAAAATGCAGAGTAAGTTTTTACGTATTAGTGTAACTTCCCAAACTAATTATGTGTGGAAGAAGCTAGTCAGTATTTTGAAAGCTGTGATGGCTTGAGAGGAAGTGCTTTTGGGAAAGGAAGTAAGACTTCTGTAGGCTGCTTCTCTGCCAATTTTCAGAGGTGATTAGTATTATTCTAGTAAGTTTAGCATTAAGCTAACTTTGAAAATTGGTGATTATTAGGTTGTAACACTGATAAATCATATCTAACAAAAATTTCTGTTATTTTTTCAATTAGCAAAATCTTGTTTGTTTTTATCAATGAATAATGTTCTTCTATGTGAGGACAGAGGGGTTCTTTCCATTTTATAACTTATCTTTGTTAAATTACTCTTTTCCACACAGTGATAAAGGCTTTTCTCCCAAATTCAATGAGAAAGATGGAGAAGTGGAGAGGAAGAGTCTGAATGGCTTGTATGTAGTTGAAAATGGGAGGCCCCGGTAAGGGAAACTTTCTTGTTTGCATGTTCATTTCAGCGGTGTAGTTTCAGAGCTCTTACAGGTCTCTCAGTTTTGATGCATGATACCTGCTAGAATAAAATCAAGATCATCTCTCCTAGAGACAGGAAAACTGATACCTCAGGGCCAGAGGTATCAGTCTGAAAGATGATTGTGGTAGAGGCACTAACAGGCCAGTACTACCACAACAGAGGGTTGTGGTGACACTGGAATTAGAGGAGGTCTGACACCATTAATCATAGGGTTTGTCGAATTAATTGTTTCCGAGGTTTGACAACGTGTTGGGCTCCAAAGCTTTTGTACCACTTGTGTGCTGTGGTGGAGGGAAAAGAGTATTTCCTTCCACTGACAAATCCTGGCATAGCACAGGTGAATAATCTCAACTAAAAAATAGTTTATTTTCTTTATGGCATTCGTATGTAATTCAACACTCTGTGCATTTATAGTCTTGGAAACTAGATTCCATTTTCAGACAAGGTTGTCTGCACAGTGAGAGTAACACTTGATCAGGAGTATCTCAAGACATAAGATCTGGGATCCTTTTCCTGCACTGTCAAACACAAAGAAGTTGATGAAGAGGAAAACCAAACTTTGTCTCTCTTGTTCTTTAAAGAATATGGTGGCACTAAATGTACGTTGCCATCCTTTAATTTGTTGTTATTTAAGCTTCTTTAAAGCTGCTTTTTCAGAATACTCTGAGCATATATTGAATGTGGGGAAGTAAATATGTTTAATGCACTATGCTGCTTATTTCAGAAATCCAGCGGGGAGGACTGGCCTCTCAGGCAGAGGATTGTTGGGGCGCTGGGGACCAAACCATGCTGCTGATCCTGTTGTAACAAGGTAAGGGACAGGTGACTGAAAGGTGCCTTGCAGTGGAGTGAAAACGCATGCATTTTACTTCTTCTGTGCATCTCTGGACAGACTGTTACTTTTTGCGAGTCTTTTGTGTGTGTTCCTCTATGTGTAAACCCATTCACATATGGGTATGCAAATGGAAAGATATATAGACATGTGGAACACAAATTTTGTAATTTTTTAGTCTTTGTCTCCAGAAAAGCGTAAGGTCTCCGCGCTCATGAGAAGCACTTGCTTCTGGAATGCTGAGAAAGCAGGTTTTGGAAAAACACCCAGAAAGTGTAATTCAATAGAAATATATTATACAAATAATCTTCAGTAACAGATGTAAAAACTGAAAGGATTGCATGATACTTTGATACTGTATATGTCAAAAGGCCTTCAATAAGGCATGTTGAATTGCAGGAATAGATTTCCCTGTCAAATGACTCAACTGACAAAAACAGCGGTGTGCCTGCTTTTACTCAGAAAGAAATACTAACTTGGCCTAGTGTATTACAGGAGGAGGTGAAGTCAGGGTATGCTCTGTTTTAATGGTGCTTTTGCTAACAGGATCTGTGTGTACAAGCTATTTTGCACAAAAAATTTGCATTCAGAAAAGACTGCATAGGTAACAAGAGTGCAAGCTAGGAAGTGACACTGGAGATAGAACTGTTGTGAAAATGGTGGGTGCTTGTGGCCTTGTGCTGAGTGAGCAGTTCCGAGGCATTGCAGCCTGCATGTACGTTCTGTTCCAAAAGAAGGCATCCTTATCATCTCGTTATGGATAGGAACTTGTGCCTATCCATAGTGAGCCCGTCATATCCAGCGAGCACTGCACTTGATAGGACGTGCTGGATGTAGCTGCTAAAGCAGCTGCTGCTGTCAGCTTGACTACTGAAATGTGGTTCTTGGGCAGTTTCTATGCTTTTGGCTGAGGAAAACACACTTGGTAGATGTGTGTGAAAAAATGGTATTTTGGTCTTGGTGACAGTCTTGCCAGACAGCATCCGTTGGTCTGTGTCCCCTCCCCGGAACTGTTCTTTCTCTGTTTTGTTGGCCTCTCCCAGGCCCTCATGTCAAGAAGTGGCAAAGCATGTTCTTGTTATCGTTTGCTGCAGGTGGAAGAGGGATGGAAGTGGCAATAAAGTTGCTCATCCAGTTACTGGCAAAAACATCTTGCAGTTCATAGCTATCAAGAGAAGAGACTGTGGGGAGTGGGCCATTCCAGGGGTAAGAGCAGAGCTCCAGAGACAGTAGACATTTCCCCACCGGTAAGGGCACGAGGCGATTACTGGCATGTGTGTGATAAAAGCATGCTTTCTGATGAACGACCTTATGTGGCAGAGGTGAGGAGAAATGTTCCTGAAACTAGCTTTGCCCAAGCATCAGCTAGTATGCCTTCTGCTGTTTCTGTGTGGCAAGGCACTATTCATCTTTAATTCTGACCCTATCTTTTGCTTACTGCAGGCAGAATTTAATTTGTTGCAGGTTTTGAAGGATGTGTGTGCTTTCTCTTTGCAACTAAGTGTAAAGTTCCTGCCATGTCCAGAATATGATGCAGGCGGATTAAGAGCCAGTCAAAGGAGTGTAAATCAAGTAGAATCTGAGAGATAATCATCTTTTTATTTTCTTTTGTGCCCCCTGTAAGGGGATGGTGGACCCAGGGGAGAAGATCAGTGCTACCCTGAAGCGAGAATTTGAGGAGGAGGCCCTGAATTACTTGCAGAAATCGCCTGAGGAGAAAGCAAAATTGGAGGAGCAGCTCCACAAGCTTTTCAGCCAGGAACACTTTGTGGTGAGCTCCATGTCTCTTGTGATAGCCTTTTGAGCTATGCATGTGATTCACAGCTGTATGGAACCTGAAAAAGTGTAGCTGAAATGAAAATAAGCTGTGATGCTCAAGTTGTCATAACATAGGAAATGGAAGGGACTTTTGAAAAGGGCAAATGTATTGGAGAGAAAGAAAAAAAATCTTATTGATTCCACCATTTGTGTTATGACACAGCTTGTTTCACTTTTTTGGGGTACCCTAGGTGTACAGAGGATATGTGGATGACCCTCGTAACACTGATAATGCCTGGATGGAGACGGAGGCTGTGAACTATCATGATGAAACTGGTGAGTATCTCCACATGTGCTCTTAGTTACATTTTATTGTTTTGGTGTGAATTTGGGAGGTATGTTGGTCTGAGCTTGGCAATGAAATTGGGGGAGCATGCAAGTATTGGACTAAAACCAATGATCGTGAGGATCTCATGTCTTCTAAGATGTTCAGCCACGACAACTGATTGTAGCTTATCCTTGGTTTCTGTCAGTCTTGAAATAAGGAATATATGGACTTTGCCTGATTTGTTAGCTATTTCTAAACTATGGACCATGTGCCTCCATAAGGAGATTGAACATTGGACAAGCATTCCTTCTTGTCACTGTATTTGTCTGGAGTTGGTTTAATTTCCCTTTTTAATGAGTCTGGGATGAAGGAATAGCCCGTTTCTGTAGTTATTTTTCCTTTAGTAGCTAAAGCGTCCTTCAGGAGCATTGCCTCTGGCCGCTGGCAGATTTTCACGGCATTTAATACTTTGGTGTTGTAGTTGCTCTGAGACCTTTCACTTTGGCAGAATAATTGCTGTACCTTATTTTTCTTCTGTAAATGAGTAGTTATGGGCCTACATTGCTAATCCTTAGATTGCTCTGCTATCTTGGAATCTCATCTCTCAACTTTTAAGATAAATCAGTCTAGTTAGATGAACAAGTCAGAGACTTTGTATGATGATATTTCCACTGTGTTTTAGGAAATAGATACCAATGGTGAGGTTTCACATGTCACTGGTTCTTGATTTACCAGCCGCCAGAAGCAGTGAAGATACTGTTCCTTTGGTCTTTGTTTCTGATACACATAGTTTTAAAAGGATTTGTTGGTTGTAGTCTGTGAAATCCTGAGACTTTTTTTGCAGAGTAAGGAGAGCAATTCAGAAGCCTTTCTGCATCCCTCCTTAAGTACTATTTTTCATTTCGAGACCTTTAATAAATTTTAATTATTCTGATCTTCCATAAGCATCTATAAGTTTCAGAATTCAATTTTTCCTGTAGAATAGTACCTGTGAAAGGAAGCAGTCACATGCTAGCCAATCAAACACAAATCAAGGCAGAGAGATTGACTAAACTTGCAGCAGTGAGCACATGTCATAATGGTTTCTAGTACCTTGTCATGCTGATGATGGGACCCTAGGAGTGGTGACAAGGATTTAACACCACCTCTGTCACTCAGATTTGCTTTCAAATTGTGCAAGTGTGAAAAAGGTTTCTGGCACAGAATCAATGAATAATTGAGTTCTCTCTAAGAAGCAGGTGAAGGTTGCCTGTGAAAGGGTGGAGCTGATCAGATATGAAGAAAAGGCTGTGAGCATGTCCTAACTCTTCTTTTGTAAACAGGTGAGACAATGGATAATTTGCCTCTGGAAGCAGGCGATGATGCTGGAGTTGTGAAGTGGGTTGACATCAGTGAGAAGCTTCAGCTGTACGCAAGTCATAGCTACTTCATTAAGCTTGTGACTGAGAAATGGGGAGCCCACTGGAGTGAGGACCCTGGTCCTGAGTGCCATGAGTGATGTAAATGAAGAATCAATGGACACCAAGGGGAGAATGTGTTTTCCAGCTTTGGAAGAGATGGCATTCTCCTTTTCAGTGGAAATTCAGTGAAAACTCTGGAATTCAGCTGGCGAAAACACTTAACAGGGTTAAATAGAGGCTGTTTCAGAGACTTCGGATTGCTTCTTTTGCTTTGTGAGCTAGTGTGAAATGAGATGAATGTGGATCTGATACCTTCTTTTGCTTTCTTGTCTTTGTTACTTCCAGCCATTTCATAATATCTGCAGATTTGTGTGACAACACTGAGATCCTGACTGGTTGCAGTTCAGAGGCTGTTCGCTTTGGCTCTATATTTTTGCACTGATTTCTTTTTAAGAGTATGAATTGTTAAGGGATATGAGACTTTTAGGATGGTACTCAAATAATAAATTAAATGCTCCCTAAAACTGTAAACTTTCTTTTCTGAGTCGTTTCACCTAACATGTCTTTTCAATCATTTTCTGTTTTGAGACATTTCCACATTTAATTGCTTTCTAGTTTACAGTATGAATAGTATTCACATCTGAATGTCTGACAGGGACTAAGATAACTCTTGAAGGATGTAACTTGACTGATTCTGGGAGCTGGATTTTGAGATTCCTCTCTTCCCACTGCTTATGGCAGTACAGCTGTTGGGGTGACTGTGACATGAACAAGATCATTAAGAGCTGCCTTAAAGTATGATCTTGTAAATTGTGGGGATTTTACAGCTTAGGTAATATAACTTGTCAGGAGGCTCATGTGGGCCTTCTGTGGCATTTATGCTGATAACAAGAGCTTCACAGCTGTTGCTGACATTTCTCCCTGTGTTTTTAATGAAGGGATAATTCATAGAATCATAGAATGGCCTAAGTTGGAAGGGACCTTAGAGATCATCTAATCCAACCTCCCTGTCATGGGCAGGGATGCCTCTCAACTAGATCAGGCTGTTCAAGGCTCTGTTTTCGGTTATGATGTGTGCTTGGTCCTTCTGTTCGGTGGTTATTTCAGTAGAAAAGACTGAACTGGTAAATAAGTTTAATGCATCTATCTGGGGAAAATCTTGTAGGGTATCAGCATTATGCTGGATCTGTTTGAAACCATTGACATCAACAGCTCATCTCCGTGCTTTTTTCTGGGGACATGTCTGAGGGCATAAAGCATAATACATACTTGTTGGATCACACATGCACTTGCAGCTTAGTTAAGGATGTGAGATGAACTGTGAATTTGTTACAAAATGTCCTGTTTGCCTGTTGTGAATGCAGGAGAGTAGCACAGGGATGAAAGAGCAGGAAGAAGAAAACATGCTTTTTATAGTATTTTCAACATTGGCATGTTTGTGTAGTTATTTGTTGACTAGTTGGAAAGACTGTCCTCATCCTCGATGAAAATAACAGTGACTGTAAAAAAAAAAAACAACCAACCCAACAAGATATCCAAATAAAACTCCAAACCAGAGAGAAATAAAAATATGCTTCAGCTGTATTTGGGAAATGTGCTGAAATGTTAATCAGTTCTTTGCCTGTTGAGTACACGCAAGGCCATTGAGAAGAAGAACATATGCAGTGTTTATAACATAAGGGTGGCTTTTTGGGGCAGCACTCATGCAAAGCTCATCAGTGTTCTGCCACAAAATGTAAAATTACAAGCCCGCACCTGCTGGCATGCACTGGTGTGCCAGAATCCACAGGCAAGGTGATCACCTGTATTTCCTTCTTTTTGGAACCTTCCATGTGGCTGTGCAGGAAGACTGAAAATTAAATAATACAAACACAGCTGGTATCAGTACAGCACTGGACTAATCTCCTTTCCAAAGGAGATTCAGATGACCAAGTCAATGAAAAGAGATAAGCCAGCTGGCCTTTGGCAGCTATATCCTTTTGGTTTGTTAATTTTGGATCAGATCCTTGCACCTCTTTGCACAGAGGGAACCTACGTAACTGAACTGTTTCACTAGATATTGGAGAAAAGGTTTTGTGAGTTAACTGCTGTTGGGTGCCAGTTAGTGGAAATTGGACATAGGTGGTGTTGCTCATTTGTAGTATTTGTGGTGTTCTGTCTGTTTATAGGTCTAAACTAATAAATACAGCTGAACTTTTTCTTTCTGTTTTTTATGCTTTTAAGCCTCTTTGTGTTATCTTGAAAGCTCTACTTGCAGTGGCTAAGAGAAGCCACATGTCATGGAAGAGGAACTCATGCTGGCCTTGAAAGCTGAATGTCCTGCCTCTTAGCAGGTTAGGCCTAAATGGGTGAGAGCATTTCTGTTGAATTTATTGTCATGGGGATTAGTGTGTGTGGCTGATGAGGACACTTGCTCTGACACCTGAGGTCTTGAGGACAGACTTGATCTACCAAGGACTTAAAAGTGGTTGTCTTGGGTTAGAGAGAAGGTTTGTCTAGTCACGTGTTCTGTCTGTAGCCATGGGTGCTTTGGCTTAGAGTATGAGGAGAGGGGAAGTGCAGGTTGATGCTTCTCCTGGAACATCCCACAGGCAGTCAGTTTCTCATTGGAGCTGGAAGTTATGTCTGCATCCTGGACTCTTGTATCTCTTAATGGACCTGTCTGAAAACATCTGTCCCCATCTGATTTTCTTCTCACTGAACACTGACTTGCTGTTCTAGCCGAAACAGAGGCAAAGTCAGTAGGTCAGATAATTTTAGTCCATGTTACAACCAGCTGCACACAGTGGGTAAGGTTGTGGCATGGTTTAAGAGTGAGCAGTGAGTGTACTCTCTATATGTGCATATGTATGTGAATGTGTTGTCTCAAAGGAGGCCTGAGTCTTGGTAGGAATTTAATTTCGCTGCTTGTTCTCCTTTGTGGAGAGGGAAAAGACTTATAACTAAACAGATGTTTAATTTAGGTTCATTAAAACTAAATGGAAACAATCAAGTCTACAAAAGATCAATAAAATTATCACTAACTTGATCTTATCTACTTCACAAAATGAAGAAAAGTAGTTAATTTATAAATATTTTTTATTATTGTTATTTCTCTACCTTAAAGTACTGACAGGGAAGCTAGATCTCATTCATCATTCTTACTCTTAATGTTCTTCTACTTTGTAGATTAAATATTGGTGGTGCTTGCCTCCTTGTGAACTGTAGGAGCTCAGGTGAACACTTTTCTCATACTGTGACCGTAGCATCTATCTGTGCATGCATTAGCGAATGCTCTTTTTCTGTGTCTTGCAGTGGAAAAGTGGAAGTGGCAGCATCACTGAGGATTTCAAAACAAGTGGGATGCTGATGTGCTCCTTCATACATTAGGTGCTTTGTATATCCACAGCTGTAATCATTTTGGTGATGGTCGTCGTTTGACCTGCAGAACTTGGACTGTTTAAAGAAAAATCTTCCCTGTTTGCCCTGATAAATTTTATTTCATTGGGTTTTTTTCCTAGTACTTTTCTAGAACAATGGTATTACCCTCAGTGGAGAATGTCAGTCCCCTGTGAGTTGTCCTTATGTGAACTATATTTGGTTGATTATTTTAAGGTGACTGACTCTCGGCTGTAGAAAAAGCAAATAGGCAATAAGCTGCAGTCAGGCAGAAAAAAATCCTGTCAAAATTACTTATTCCCTGAGACATTTGAAATCCCAGAGAAAGGCTGCTTTTCAGATTGAATTAACACAGAATATGCTTTTAAATATGCAATCCAGGTTGATTTATATATGCTGTTGTGTGATGTTACAGGATATGAAATGGTAGTCCAATCAGGCTTCTGGGAGAAACTATGAGTGAAACTGGGTTGGTGGAACTAGTGTTTTGGTTTTTTAAGTTTCTGTGTTGAAAATAGTCATAGCTTGATTCATGGGAGACCCTTGTCTCCCAGGGTATCAGGCTGGAGTTGGACTACAATTAGCAGCCCTTGTTGGTTCAAGAGCAAATTCACAAGGGGCAACTGAGCTCAACTATTTGAGCTACCAAACCAGCATTTCTAAATTTTGCTTTCTTTTCATTAGAAGGGTGACATGGTTCAGATGAAAGGTGTTTTCTCTGCCTTTGTAGGGGTAGGATTTGAGGCTTCTTGCTTACAGCAGAGCATGCCTGGAGGGGTTTTAGAAGTGGCTTGGCTTAAAATCATGAAGTTAATGGGATTAGCAATAGTCTCATTCTGTCCTGGTTTTATGCCTGAATCGTGCCTGTCTTCAGGCACGCAAAAGTTGATTTCTTTAGCATTTCTTTCTCAGGTAAAATGGCAGCAGTAGTTGATGCTTCTGTGGGAGGAAGGAACAATGAGCCTGCTGAGGAGACTTAAGGAGCTGTGATATCCTCTGCTCCTTGTGATGGTGGACCTCTTGCTAATCAGTCTTTTGACATGCATTCACACTCACCATGCTCATGCAGTTACACAGTTTGTCAGCAGGATTTCTGCTTTGTGACACTAATACTATTACTGTTGCATTTCAAGATGTGAGGGGAGAAGTATCTAAAAGTGCTGATTTTTCATATATTTTAGGAATTATGGTTTAAGGACTAGTGTATATGATCTACCCTTTAGTTTCTTCTCCTCCCTTAAATCTGAAATGAAATTTCCTTTAAACCATTGCCTTGACAGCTTCTCTTTGACAAAGTTCTGACAAAACTCATAGATCTAGGTAGACTTTTATTTTATTTGAGGCTTCTATGCAGAATGTTAAGCTGACAATATAGTAAATAAAGGAAACAAGTCCTATTTCAAGGTAATTTTCATCAGTGTATGGTAAAATACCTATGCTGTAATTGTGCTAAAGAATTTAGTGAACAGCTCAGTCATTGGGTTAGTACTGTTTATCGGTTCAGAGATATGGATACATGCAGGGGGAAAATACTGGTTGTTTAGCTATGAACCACTTGGAGTGGTTAATTTTTTCTGCTAATAATCAGTGCAGGTTTTTTCTGCACTTGTGTTATTTGATAAGAATGTGGTGAACCTTATGCCACCTTGTCTTGAAAAACATGAAGCTGTTAATTACAGAAAGAAATGGGATTCACATATTTCACCAGTTCTAGTGCAGCACTGGGGTTGTATTCAGCCAGGCTCAGAACAGGAGATTTTCATTTATGTCTTCTGCAACAAAGAAGAAGAAAATGTTAATAATATTTGATGCCAAAGAAATATTTTTACGTTGTGTCACTATCAAGAAAGTGATACATGGAAGTTTCAGAGGGCTTATGCATGGGAACACTATCCCTACCAAAAAA